AAGGATGAAGAGAAGGAGCCAGGGGATAGATCTCTTGAAAATGAGGAGGAATCCAAGACACTGGGTTGGGGGAGAGAAGTAGGTAGAATTAAAGTATGCCGTGTACAGGACCCTAATAACTTATATGAATGTAAACACTATATGTCATAAACAAGAGTTAGGAAAAACAATAATATGAATAAAAGGAGGGAAAAGGAATTTAGAGGCAGAGGAGAGAGGTGGGTGGGAAGCAGAGTAAAAAAAAAAGAGACAAGCTGGGCTATGTAGGTGGGCCTGCTCCTCACAATGGATGTATATTTCATGTACTACAAACATGTACTAAAATATTTCTTCATATCCCATCATGCCTGATATGGTGCTGGTGCAGGTCGCAGACAGGCTCTTGGAGGGGCTGAGATGGGCATGAGTTCTTAAAGGAATAATACATACACAGGTTGTGTGTGTGTGTGTGTGTGCGTGTGTGCGTGCGTGTGTGTGTGTGTGTGTGTGTGTGTGTGTGTGGTGAGGGGGTGGGGACAGTGGTGGAGAAAAAGTTTTCTCTCTTATTCTCACAAGCCCATATACTGTTTGAAATCAAGATTTAGCTTGTAAGGACAGTTATTCAGAAAAAAGAAAAAAAAGGAGATACAGAAAAAAAGATGGCAGGAGCCAGTGACGCACACCCCTGTGAAAGGTACACGTGGTCATGTGAAAGATAAGAAGGAGACTGGTCACGTGACAAGACCTAGTGGCTGCCGGCCCTGTAGCAAGAAATGTACTAAGAAAAAGCCACTTGGAGACCAGAATAAGCAGAAAGCAGGCTAATGTAGCAAAGTACACAACACACAACACACGTGTGGATAATAAGGCGTACCTGGGAAGGGAGCACAAGTGGTTAGAAGCTAAAACCTACAGTCCCTTCCCCATTTTCTTTTGCTAGAAAAGCAGCCAACAGTTTCCTCTGTGTTTTGAGAAGAGACCTCTACATTCCTGGACCAGGAGCTAGAGCGAGAGAGAGAAGGAGAGAAGAAGGAAAATAAATAAACAAAACGCCTCGCAGGGAGAAACAAGTGCCCAACATGGGCTTTACTTTGGTCTCTGGGACTGAGCTTGAGTCTCATGTGTGGTTGTGCAATCTTTTTTGGGCTGGCCATACCAAAATGTTATCGTTTTAAAAAAATTTTTTTTCAAAATGTTATCTTCTGCCTGGCTTGCCAAGATATCAGATATTTCCTTTAGAAATAACTTAGTAGCTGGGCATTTAGTTCAGCGGCATAAGTGCCTGCCTTGCAAGCACGCAGTCGTGAGTTCGATCCCCGGTACAAAGAAAGAGAGAGAGAGAGAGAGAGAGAGAGAGAGAGAGAGAGAGAGAGAGAGAGAGAGAGAGAAAGAAAGAAAATGGCTTACTAATTAAAAGTATTCCAGGTCTTTTTTTTTTTTTTTGCCTAAAAGAATTAGATGAAATGACCTAAAAAAAAAAAAAAAAGTGCTAAAGTGAGGAGTAAAGGCATAAGGGAAGAACTAGCTCTGCAGAGCAAACTTGGGCTGAACAAAGAGACAAAAGGGTAGAAGCAAAAATAAAAGTTAGCGAGCACCGTGAGGAGTCATGACAGCGAGTTCCTCAAGGCGTTTCCTCTTTTCCGCTGTCTGCGTCTCGTGGGAGCCGCAAGAAGTACTTGACACTCTTCTGGGATCTTATGATTGACAGGTATCGCTTATTTCCTCAGCCAGATTTGTCACACCCTACCTCCTACATCAAGCTCTGGGTTCAATACCAGGATCTCCAAGAATCAAAACAAACAAACAAAAAACTATAAAAGAACACTTCGGGCTGTCTACATTGACAGTAGCATGAACTCGGTAAGAATCACTGTCCCCAGCACATGAATTCATACATCTGGCACAGCTGCATAGACAGACGGCCCCATTTGAGAAGCCCAGAATGGAGGTAAGTAATCCTACAGCCACATGGGGGAGTTTATGCTCTCCTCCCTGTCTCTGCTCTCTGTTACTGGGCTGAGAAGAGCAAGTGGTTGCCTATGCAGAGACTTGTGTGTTTCCTAAGACAGATCATCTTGGGGAGTGTTGGGAGCAAAGCCTTCTGTACCTCAGGTATCTGGGGCAGGGTTACTGCTTCTTATGAGTTTGGCAGGGTCCCATGAGATGTGTCCGCAGCTCAGGGAGCTGATGCACAAGAGCCTTGGCCTTCCCGGAGATAATTCAGATACTTTCTCTCTTGTTCCCTGTGTAACTGCCAAGGCAAAATGTTTTGCTAAAGATTAAATGTTCTTTCTGTTCTAGATCTTTCCCTCCCCTTACATTCTCCATAAACATCCGATTATGCTAATTGTATAAATAAATACACTGCAGTTGTATTGGGCGATCCTTTCCCCCATCAGGAGGTGGGCTCCACCTGACCTCAGCTTTCTGCATCTTGACTCTTTGTCTTCTTTGCTTCATCCTCCATCATCCTTCCAGGGAGTTTCAAGAGTTGCTCTGGATGCAGCAAGGGAGACAGGTTTGGAAAGAAAAATGATAGTAAGTTGCTGAGAGGAAGCCTCACCATCCAGATGAGTTTGCTACAGTGATCATCCTCCCAAAATGGTTCTCTTCTTGGTAAAACACTCTGATTCTAAGACTTGTAGACTCCCAGGCCAAAAAACAAAACAAAATAATAACAAGCCAGGCATGGCAGCACATGATTATAATCCCAGAACTTGGGAAGCTGAGACAAGAGGATTGACACAAATTGGAGTCTAGCCTAGGCTATATCATGAGTTCAAGGCCAGTCTAGACTACATGGCAAGACCATGTCTCAAAAATTAAATAAATAAATAATAATAAACCATCCAATAACAACAAAAAAATAAAGAAAAAAGGAAAGGAAGAAAGAAAGAAAACACATGGAACAGGACTATCAACTTTTAAAATTTTACTTAAAACATTCTTTTTTTCAAAAATGTAGCCATACTTTACAATTTTCTCTCGATTTTGCTGTCCATTTCCTGGAGTAAAGGATGCCCTCACACACTCTCTGCATCTCCACTTCTATCCACCTCCACCAGGAGAGGCACAACACTCGAGAAGATCAATTTCTCAGAGTCAAAGCCAATTCTGGTAAACTTAGCAGTATGAACGCCTTCTTAAGTAGTCTTCAGTACCAGTGCAAATTTTAGTATGGGTCTGTACATGTTTTATATGGGAAATGTTGGAAGAAGTCAATTTTTTCCCCTAGATGGTAATGTGTTATAGTCCTGCCAAGCAGAAATTACTTAGAAAAAGGAATATTTACTTCCTTTTGAGATAACCGGAGGACATAATCATGATTGTGATTTTTATCAATTATTATAGTGAGAAAAATATACAGAAAAATGGCTGTATTGAGCTTTAGATTTTTTTTCTTGCAGCTTACTGAATTGGATTTTACTCCAAAATTACACAAAAATTAAGTTCTAAAAATATTAAAGACAGTTATTTATGAACTGCTGTTGACATTTTTGTCTTTATTTCTCTGGGTAGAACTACAACCTTTATATGCCTACTCTATGTTTTAAATTTGGGTCTACAATATATTCTTGTAGCTGGTCTTTGCTAAAACAGCATTTCCCATAATGGTGTTTTTTTTTAAAGATACTCTTTTTTTATTGTGCATTTTAGAATTTAGTTACCTGAGAGATAAAACTGGCTTTTTTGTTTTCTGAAAGCCTTGGGGTTTAAGAGTTAAATCATTGCATTCCAAAGTCCTGAACCCAAGTTTATTTTTATTACTAACCTAAAAGTTTATTCATTTAATTTTAATTTTTTTCCGAGTTTTAAATAGCCCCTGTATAGAATCTTCCCTAATCTTTGCAGTGTAGAAATTCAATATTTTTTTTTAATTTCAGAAGCTCAATATTTGTTTAGCATGGATCCTTCAAAAAAATGATATAACATCTAAACTTTCCATTTATGTATTTCATTTGGCTCTTTTCAGCCTACTCTGTATTAAAATTATTTGTATATGCTTCATAACCTTAGTAATCCTCTCAGTTTCTTGAGGTAGGAGTTGTGCCTTTTATATCTGTTTCTACTTCATAGCTCCTAGAACGGTGCCTTTCATGTAGTGAATGTTCAATAAGTATTTAATTTTGGGGGAAAACTCAATAAAAAGTTATCATAAAAACTTACAGCAAACATCAGGCCAGTGAAATGTTAGAAAAAATCTTTTAAATCAGTTCATGGATGCCTAGTAACATCACTTGTACTCAGTATTGATCATAAAATTTGAGATTAAGGTCAGTGGAGAGAGATGAGAGGGAGGAAGAGCAGAAGGAAGAAGAGAAGGAGGAAAGGTAAAGACTGGAAGAAAAGAAAAAGTGAAACTGTACATAGATGATACAATTCTATACAAAATTTTAAGAATATATAGATGATATGTGAGACTATTCCGTAACACTGTTAGATTTAATAACAATATACGTAAGTCAGTTACATTCCAAAATGCTGCAAAACTATAGAAATACATTCCTTAAAAATTAATAATTAAGGAATATCTTTTACAATATAGGGATAAGTAAGTTACTAAGAAAAAAATCTCTAACAGAATATAAAAGAATTTAATGGGCTAATTTATACAACTGTATTTATAAAATCTTACAAAGTTGAGATGTGTCTGAATACAAATATTCAATGTGACAATACTGTCAATTATATGAATTCAATATAATTCAAACTAAAATCTTAACTAAAGTGTTCACTGGTGTTGGCAAAGTGAGCACTGAGTAAACAGGTCTTCTAGCCACGCTGCTGGTGTAAGAAGGGCTACATTTCTTTTATATTTGAAAGTACTGAACAATAGAACAGATGGAACAATGATTTATATAATATGGGACATAAAGGAATAAGGGCAGTGATCCCTAGTGGTAGAAAACAAAGGCTTTTGAGCCCCATGCTTGCCCAGTTTGCTGTCCTGAGTGTTTCCTCTTTAGGAAGCCCACAGGGAGTCACGTGAACTTCCTGAGTCCAGGAGGTGGATCTGGCAGTCCAGAGAGACCAAGGTCACTGGAGTGTGCACAATGAAGCACCAGAGAAGAGAACTATGCAGAGATGGGGCCCTGAGAGAGCTGCAGAGAAACCCTTGAATCTGCAGGTGAGCACTGGTAGGTACATTGCCCTGGGAAGGACACCGGGAGGGAAGTGTCAGAGGTCAGATGTGTTGGTTGTTTCCATCAGTCAGACCGAAAATCACGTAATCCACCGGCCATTGGATAGAGTATGTCAAAGGGTCTTGTCTAGGAGTGGGAAGTGACTAGTCCTGGACTGAACTCTGCTCTACCCTCAAATAACACATTTGCAAAACAAGAACTAAAGAGCTCAAACTGTTTTTCATGTACTAAACTGTCTACCCAAACAAACTTCAAGGACATTTACAGGAAAATGAAATTATCCAGCACTCAAAAAGGAAAAGTTTAAAATATTAGATACACAATTTAAAAATCAGATTTGCAAAAAACAGGAAAACGTTGGCTCTTTGTGTTTGGTTGGGTTATTCATCTACCATCCTGTTAATATCTCACTAACTTCCAGATTTATCTTGAATCTGTGGCAATTAAGACAGTGCTGTATTGACAGAATGCAATACATTGCATTCTGTGAAGCAGTGAAACAGAATGACAGAGCCAGAAAAAGTCCTGTTTGTATCTGGAAATCATATATTTTGTAGCTGGCCTTGCAGGCCAATGCGGAAAATAAAAGCTAGTAAATGGCTCGAGGACAAAGAATGAGTTAAATGAAAAAAAAAAAGTAAAATTATAACTTCAACTCACATAATACAACATTTATGTACAGATAGATTATACATTAGAATATTAAAAGTCAAAACTTTAAAATTTTTAGAGAAACCTTTTAAATTTGGGGCAGAAAATGTTTTAGATAAAGGACAAACTATAATTTTCTATAATTTAAAACTTTCATTAAACAAAAGATATCACACCCTAAGTGAAAAGTCACATAACTCACAAGACAGGTCTTCCACATACGTAACTGACAAAGATTAGCATCTGGAATATGTAAAGAATGAAACAGAAAAGGTAGTAAATGGTTTACAGGACAGGAAACATGGACAGCAGTTAATACCTGGAGGATGTTTACCTATATTAGTAACCAGAAAAACGCAAAAGAAATCCATTTCAAACACATCAGAGGCAGAAACCTAAAAGGTGTCCCAATACCAAATGAGGAAGTGGAGCACAGGGATGCCTTGAATGCTAGTGAACTGCATGGGTGTCATCACCTGGAGAAAAGCAAGGAAATACCTTATAAAACTGAAGAGGTACACACCTATGACCTAGCAACTCCACTTTCTGGTAAGAGCCCTAGAGAAACACACATGTATGTGAACCAGGGGCCTTTCAAGAAGGCTCATAGCATGATTTCCATAAATGCTTCCTCTAAAGATTCTCCAAAGAGAAAAACAAACAAATAAATATTTAGTATAAACTATAGAATAGTCATGCAAAGAAATAGTATAAAATCATGAAAATTAATGAACCAGAGTTACAATGCTCAATGTGGATGGATCTCCCAAGTGCAATTAAATGAAAACAGGCATATAAGGAGCATAAATCTTTGCAGAGACCACAGTTGTTTACAACCATTCCCTATTTACTTCCTCATAATGGAATATCATTATTACTTGGCAATTGCTTTCCAGAATTAAAGGTGTCTTTTGGCTTGTGTGGCCATGTGATTTAGTGCTAGCCAATGAGCTGTATGTGGATGTGGAGGTGATCACTAGGGCTTTCAAAGCGCTCATTAAAGGAGCTGTACTCAGTTAAAGGAGTTATTGACCCTTTATGGCCCCTTTACCTCTTTTTTTTCTTCCAGCCAGCAATATGAGCATACTGGCTACCCTAGCTAACTTTAGACTAAAGGTACTTTTGGAAATAGAAGCCATACTCAACATGAAACAGAAAACTCATATCTGGACCCCAAATTAACACCAGAAAAGCTCTGACTGGCCTGTCTTCAAGTTTCTTTACTGCGATAGAGGAATACACTTGCATTTTGTTTAAACGGCTGTCAATTTGTTGTTTCCTGTTATATCTATTTGTTTCTATTTACATTTCATACAGATGTACATAATATACAGACATAAATAATGTCTAAAATACACAAAATAACTAGCATGCAGCAAAGGCATGGAAAGCACATGGAGGTAAACAGCAAATGTACCGCAGTGATTACTTGTGAAACAAGATATGGAGAGAAAATGGAAGATGTATACACAACATGTAACGCATTTTGTTTAGTTTTATTCTTTATGCCTTCTTGTATGTCTTAAGTATTGGAATAATACTGCTTAAGACTTCTAAATAGAAGAGGTCTTTGGAATTTCTGGAGCATAAAAGCATGTGCAGTCATCCTTGTGGCCTCTGCCTTCGATCATGTCTCCTGTTCCCCATGACTCAAGCTAGAGAAATAGAAATAAACCTGTTGAGTTTCTTGATTTTTTTTTCATACAGCCCAAAAGAACCACTCCAACTATTTCCTCTCCTCTATCTTCTCCATAGGTATTCAGAGGCACAGAGAAGCTTCTCCAGCCATAGCTCATGAAAATGTTTGTGCTTTCTTTCCAAGTGTGGTGGATGAAAAAGTGGTAGTCAATTTAAACACCAACTGAACTGAATCAAGGTGGTGCTGAGTAGAGATGGCCCATCTGAGGAAAGTTTCCAGCATAAAAAGGAGACCTGGAGAGGAAGTGTGGTATTGTGGGTTCTCTTAAGCTTTGTTGTTTGGAGCTGCTGGTTCTTTTAGAGTTGCTGGTTCTCCTAGAGGTGCTTTTCATGCTGGTTTCCCTGATATAAATGTGGCTGTTCTCATTATTGGAGGAGCCCAGGACTGCATTGTCACTGAGGATGGCTATGGTACTTTTGAGGGGAGCCCTGGTCTTATTTTGAGTGTTGTTTCTTGGCTCCAGTGCAAAACACTCAACCTACTGGCACAGATCCTTCACCCCACTGGCACAGAATTTCTGGCTTTTACCACTGACCTTTGGGCCCTCCCAGGGAAGATCTATGAAACAGACTTGCCTGAGGCCTTGTTGTGGGCTCTAGGTCTCCAGTTAGACTTGTGGAGGCATTGTCATGGGCTCTAGATTTTCAACTGAACTCATTTAGAATATTGCCATGGGATCCAGGCCCTTAGGTGGATTCTCTAGGTTTTTGGTGTGTAAACAGATTTCCTGTACTTCTTGTATTTGACTCTGAGTGGTTAGCATAAAATATTACTATAAATTATGTGTCCTGTATGTAATTGATTGCCTTGCAATTGCTGACTACAATGCCAAATGTTGCCTCAGCCTGTTTTCCTGGTGAGGCAGAAGGACAAGGAGAGCAGAAAGACCCCTGTCAGCTATGCACCCCAGTGAAGAGTGTGTTTCTGCTCATAGGCAGCCATACTTACTAGGCGGCATCGCAGAAAGGAGCCACAGAAGCGGGAGCTTTGCTGCATGGCTAGCTGTTGCTTGGAGCTTGGCACATCAGCCTGCCAATTCTCCACCGTGGTTAAGAGGATATCGAATCTGTTGGGCACTTAGGAACATGCCAAGAACAAAACAGTTTCTGCAATGGCAGTGAACAATTTCCCCCTGGAACATTTCACAGATGAGTTGATGGGATTAGACAGCATGCCGTTCTTAGAAGATGTTATAGACACAACCACTTATATAAAGATGAAAGTGGTGTTTTGGGGAAAATGCCAAGTTGCAAATCTGAGGTGGAGAAGATATTCCATTAACCTTGTATCTACTGGGTTGTCTATTAATTTCAGATGATAAAGGGATGTCAGATAAAACCAATTAGCATAAAACACTCTTAGTCAGCTTTGCAAACCTTCAACAAATACCAACAAAGATGAAGGACATTTGGAGATGGAGCTTTTCCAAGGGACTATTGAAAGTGATGGTGTCTTCACTTTCTTTCATCTTGTGTCTACTATGTGCTAAGTCCTAAGGCAACTCTTAAGTGATTTGCTAAATTCATTCTTCTTCCTGTCTTTTCTTTCCTTTGTGATTTAATTCCCTTGGTCTCTTTGCAGAAAAGAGACAAATGGTGGCATATTCTTCAGGGGAAAAAACACAAGACTGTACCTGATACCCAGTGTGACTGGGAGTCCCTCCACTTGCTAGGAACCGCTATTTGAGATTCTTGGAGTACCTGTTATGATGAGATTTCCTCTTGGGACTATTTCAACACTTATGAGTGAAGATTGAAGTATTATGGATGTACATTGCACAAATAGTATTTGTGTGACATGACTCTTAGTTCCTAAATACAAGTGTTATTACTGCTGCAGGTAAATTTTAAAAAGCTTATCTTGTAGGGCTTGATGGTGCACGACTGTAATTCCAGCACTCAGGAGGCTGAGGCAGGAACATTGCTGTGAGTTTGAGGTCAGCCTGGGCTACAAAGTGAGTTCAAGGCCTGCCTAACCTGCAGAGTGAAACTCTGTCTCAAAAAGACCTAGATAAATAAGCAAATACATAAATAAATAAATCAGATGATAGCCATTGCTGATTTAATAATCATCTTGCTTTGAAGTCCTACCGTGCTTTTGTTCTTCTGTTTCATTGGTTCCATTGGTTCTATCATGTTGTATCTTATTGAATTTTATTATGTACAATAGTATAAACAAGGTTTTTATGGAAAATGAGGTAATATAGTAGCTATTGTTTGTTTTCAGTTATTTGATTCTGAATGCCCTGTAATACTTTCATTCTCTTGAATGATTTTATAGTATTTTGTTATGTTTGATACTATTGTATGTGAAGGTATGCTCAACTATTTCAAAGAAAGAGACGTTATGGTAGCTACTATTAATAGTGAGTTGTCTTATGGTAAAGTACTGTGTTGCTTACATTGGTCTGTTCTGATCTGCTTTGTTATGTCCTCTTTTGTCTTAATCTCTTTAAAATAAAAAATTATAAAAATAAATCAGATGAATATATACTTTTTAAAAAAGCTTATCTTATGCTTGAATTTTTGACTTTATGGTTAGGGATGGCTTTTCTGCTGCTGTGAGGAACTTGGATATGGGTACTATGTTTTACTCTCTTTTTTTTTTCTAGTGACTGGCACTATTTTTCTAGTGACTTGAGCAC